GGTTCGAAGCAGCTGGTCGAAGGTTCGAAGCAGTTGGTCGACGACTTGGCCGTCGACGAAGAAGGGGAGATGTCGGTAGGAGAAGAGCCCACCGATAGCGATGTGGTGGAGGTGCCGATCACGAAGCCTGAGCTGCGACGCACAGGTCGAACTCGATGGCCGCCGGAGCGGCTGATCTTCCACGCCTACCTACCGCCAGCTGCCTTCACCACTGTGTACGACAAGGTGGATGACGACCTGTTGTATGACGACGCCGAGGAGGATGAAGAGCTGCTGGAGCTCGACCCCGACGTGCATGCCGACCCCGAACACCGCTGGGACATCGCCACGATGACAGTGAAGGAGGCGATGGCGAGCTGGAAAGGCGAGGCGGTGAAGGCCGCCATGGAAGAAGAGATCCGCAGCCTCATCGGCATGGGCACTTGGGAGCTGGTCGAACGCCCACGCGGGGTGAACATCATGAAGAACCGGTGGGTGCTGACGACCAAGTACCGCATCGACGACACCGTCAAGCGCGAGAAGGCGAGGCTGGTCGTGAAGGGCTTCACGCAGGTGTGCGGTGCGGACTACGACGAGACGTACTCGCCGGTGAGCAGCTACGTCACTCTAAGGATCTTCCTCAGCATCGTCGCCGTCCTCGACCTCAACCTGATGCAGCTCGACATGAAGAACGCTTTCCTGAAGAGCAAGCTCGATAGAGTGCTCTACATGTACCAGCCGGACTACTTCGACGATGGGACCGGCCGGGTGTGTAAGCTGCTGAAGAGCCTCTACGGGCTGAAGCAATCGCCGCTGCTGTGGTACAGGGCACTCGACGGCGTGCTACTGGGCGCTGGCTGGAAGAAGAGCCAGGTCGTCGAGGCGCTCTACTTCAAGGCCAGCGACAACGGAGTGACCTGCTAGGTGCTGGTCTACGTCGACGACCTGCTCGCCGCCTGCAGCAGCATTGCGTTGCTGAAGGAGCTAAAGGAGCCGCCGGAGGCTGCCTTCGAGCTGCGCGAGATTTCGCCAGTCGTCAAGTACCTCGGGCTAGAGATCGTGTGTGACAGACCAGTGAGGAAGCTGTGGCTTCACCAGCAGGGCTACGCCGACAAGCTGCGCAGGCGCTTCATCGACGAGGAGCAGGGCGGTCGATTCCTGAAGACGCCGGTCTCGGTCGATTCCTACGCCGAGCTGACATTCGACGACGAGGAGGCGCAGGAGCACGAAGAGGAGGAGTACCGGCAGAAGGTTGGCTCGCTGCAATTCGCGGCGACGACGACGAGGCCGGACATCGCGTTCGCCTGCAGCAAGCTGGGGAGCGGCCTCACGGTGAGGAGCGACCAGCATTGGCGTGAGGTCGACCGCTACCTCGCCTACCTCGCTGACACCTGCGACACCGCCCTGGAGTTCGGCGGTGGACCAGAGTCGCTGGAGCTGATCGGCTACGTGGACGCCGACGACGCGAGCGACAAGCAGAATCGGACGAGCACAGGAGGCTACGTGTTCGTCTACGGAGGGGCCGCCGTCTCCTGGTCGAGCTCGCGCATCAAGTGTGCAACATTGTCATCGATAAAGTCGGAGTATGTGGCGGCCACGGATGCAGGCAAGGAGGGACGCCGACTTTGTTTCCTTCTTGCGGAATTCAAGCTACTCGACGCTGGGAAGCCGACCATCCTCCGCGTCGATAACAAGTCGGCAATTACGGTCGCCGAGGGCTTGGGGTTGACGGGCAACCTCAAGCACATGGAGCGACGCTATGCCTGGCTGCAGCACATGGTGAGGCGCGGGAAGTTCGTACTGAAGTACATCCCAACCACCGAGCAGCCGGCAGACTTCCTGACGAAGGCGCTGCATTTTCCGGCTTTCAACCGGTGCTCTGTCGCCATCGGCCAAGTTCGTCTGGTCGACGTCGGTGACGGCGACGATGATGTGTAGTAGTAGGTGCCGTGCCCTTCTGCACGGCTGGTGCGGTGACGGCGTGCTGTGTGTGGGGTGCACGCCGAGGACGGGTTTTCTTCGTAGTGTGTTGCCGTGTGGGCTGGGGGCCCAAGCGTGAGCGCGGCAGGGGAGTGTTAACGGGAATGGAGTGTTGGCCACGCCCTCGCTTGGGCAACGCCGACGACTTGGTCGGATGTACGGGAGTAGCAGCCGACCGTTCAGAGTGGGAGAGCTACTCGACAGGCTTCGTCGAGTTACAGGGGACCACTGTGGTGTTGCTGTCGACGAGGGAGCTCGACAGCTGCAACTGACTGGTTTGGGCGACGGGTGGGCCGTCGACCAGGAGGGGCAGTTCGACCGAGAGGCTGACTGCAGGGTTGCTAGGTGCCTGATGTAGTCATTGTTGTCATTGCTTGTTCAATCATTATGTTATTCCGATTTCTCCCGTGATTGTGCAAGCACTAAGGAACTAGGCAAAGCTGCGATCAGTCCTAGTAGTTCGTGCCAACCCTCGTAGTCTAGCTCACTACCGTTGTAGAGTGAATCTTCGCAACAACTCGACCGTTGACCTCGTTTCGTTGAGACATTCCGTCCGGACGCAAGCTACGTCGCATGGTGTCTTGCGAATGTGTTGGACGCTCGTTATTCTTGTTATAACAACCAGATTCACAAGCAGTGATAGTCTCCAACAGATGAACCTCCAGTAGTGATAGTCTCGACGTCAGAGTACAAGCACCGCCACCACCTTTGTCCTCTCGCACCACGATGCCCGCGCCTGCCTTCGCCTGAGATCCGTCCTATCCGTCCATATGGCGTCCACCTACCCCCATCTCTCTCCGCCCATTCTCCCCACTTCCCCGCAGTTGCCTCCCGCAGTGCACTTCCCCTCCCCCTCTTCGTTCGCCCCTCCGTTGCCCTCCGCATCTCCGCCCTTTCTTCCGCCCCCCGCGTCCCCATATGCGGAGGGATTTTGCTTGGCGTGGCAGCACCCGCACGCCTCGATTATATCGCGGACATGGTTCGCTTTAGTCACCGTTGCGCCGCCGCTCCTCTTCCTGCTCTTCCTCCTTTCCCGCGTCCGCCCCGCTCTGGCGCAGCTGCGGCGCGCGCGCAGCGCGGGCATGATGGGCGGGCAGTGCGCCGTGATGGCGGGATTCTACGCGCTGCTGTGGGCCGCCGCGGGAACGAACCTCGTGCGCAGCCTGGCGCAGGTGAGGCACGGAATGGCGCAGGTGAGGCGCGGAATGGCGCAGGTGAGGCGCGGAATGGCGCAGGTGAGGCGCGGAATGGCGCAGGTGAGGCGTGGAATGCCGTTGATGTGAGGGGCGGCCTGGGGAGGGTGGTGGGGGCAGCTCGGCGGGAGGTGGAGATTAGAGTAGGGAGGTGGGGAAGAAGGATGTCCGCGGACCAGCTGGCCCTGCGCCAGGCAGCACGGTCAGAGCACATTGCCAGCGCTGATGCCATGGATAGCAGCTTGCAGCCGTGCTTTGAGGGGTCCTCTTCTGCGCCTTCCCCTCATCGCCTCATCCCTCTGCCTGCCGTGCTCCATTTCGCTGTGTGCCCTGGCTCTCTCATTCGGCTGCTCGCCCGGCTGCCCTTCTCACACATGAAATCTTCCTGTTCAAACGGTCTAGAGCATGAGAAGCTTGGAAGGGAAGGAGATGGCTTGGACACCAATAGTGGGCGGAGTATTGAACCACTGTCAGCTCCTCAGTTCATTCAGACCCCTCGCTGTACAAACACACCAGCTTACTAGGGTACATGGCATCAGCATGGGTCTGAGTTGGCCGCCTCACTCCAGGCTGCGATGCGCGGGCAGGTGGACGGCTGAGCCAGCGGTGGCTGACGTGGCGTGGCTAGTGATATGGTGGAGAGGCGAGCGAGTTCACAAGAGCTGGCCTGGGCTCGTCAATGAGCGTTCCGGCTTGTTTCTGGTATTCCGCAGCGAGATGTGCGTGTTGTTGGGATTCCAAGCGTTCTGCAGCAAGGCCCACGACGTGGTGCCGCCAGGTGAGGCGGATCACCACCACAGCTGCGCGAGCATGGCACTTCACTCCCAATCAATGCGTTTTGCAGCCACATGCGCGTGGAGCTGCCATGTCGCGGCTAGGTCTGGGCCGATGCGATGTTTTGACGAGCCTATTGCTCGTTGAGCCACTTGCCGGGTTTGTCCGGTCATAACAGCCCCACTGCGTTGCGTTCATCTCCACGACTGACTGCTCCTAGCTTGTGAAACTTCAACTCATATGCCGGTGTGGAGGCGTCCTTGCCACCCTTCAACTCATATGCCGGTGTGGAGGCGTCCTTGCCACCCTTCAACTCATATGCCGGTGTGGAGGCGTCCTTGCCACCCTTCAACTCAACAGTGGGGCAGCACAACTCCACGTTCCCTGCACCGCCGATCGCTCTGCTCACATGCACATGACCCATGAAGGGCAGAGACTGTCCTTATCCTCGCCTCGCACTTTATGGGGCAAACAGGTGCGGAGCTTGGCGTGAATGAAGAGTCCCTCACTAACTGGCCACGGGGATCCGCTTGTCCCCGTCCATGGCACACTCAGCAACGCCTTGTCCTCCACCCCGTACATGCATGAAGCAGGTGATTTGCGTGGGTACATAACTGTGGTGAGTCGTGACAACAAATGTAGTAAGTGTTCTTAACAGATCCGAAGCGCAGTTGATGTGGTGCAGTGGTGGTTTGTTACAGCGTGGAAGAGAGAGTAGATACTAGGTTGTAGCAGCAACGCAATGAAGCAAGAGCAATGCGATCCATGCTCCGGCGCCTGCTGGTTGACACACTTATGGGCGAGTGAGTGTGTCAACCAGGAGACCCGAGGAGCGGAGGAGCCACACGCGTGCCCATGAGCTGCGTGGCAAGCGGCCACTCACCTACACGGAGAACGACTGCCACGATTTGACCCGATGAGCTGAGCCGCCAGATTGGCCACGTGCTCGCTTGCCTTTTCACATGGCAACCACCCCACTTGCATCCTCCTCCCACACACCATGTGCCCCCACGTTCTCCGTGCTCACCCTCTTACATTCCCTCTCCCTGCCTCTCCCCGCCTCTCCCCACCCAGCTGCTGCTGCTAGCACCGGATACTGCTGCTGCACCTGCACCCAGCAGCGCGTGGATCAGCGGGGCATGGCTGGCGGCGGGGTGGGTGAGCATGGCACTGGAGGCGGGGGTGCTGCTCTTCCTCATGCACGGCATCCGCATGTCCGCCTCCGAGGCCCTGCTGCGCACCGCTGTCATCGCTTCCATCCTCGCTGGCGCTGACGCGGCAGTCAAGGTGAGGCGGGGAAGCACCAGCATGTCCCGCATGGCTAACTAGGTACCTTTGCCACTGCAGCCCTGCCCTCCCCCGCTGCCCTCCCCCAAAGGCCTCCTTCCATGCACTGTGCACAGAGCGGCCTGCCCATACTCCCCTTTGCATGCCTCTCCCCTTCCACTCTCTCCTTCCCACCGTCCTCCCTGTCGCACCCCTCTTCCCCTCGTCCTCTCTTCCTCTCTTCCTCTCTTCCTCTCTTCCTCTCTTCCTCTCTTCCTCTCTGTGCCCTGCCATCCACCCTCGTGCCACCGCCAAGCCCCCTTTCCCCCCCTCCGCCCGCTGTGTGCGCCATGGCAGGCGTCGCTGGTGTTCCACCACGCGCTGCCCCTCTTCCACCCACGCCTTGACGTTGCCACGCCGGGTGCCGTGTGGCTCTTCTGGCTCGCCCACGACGCCCTCCGTGCCGCCGTCTACGCCGCCCTGCTCTCCCTGCCGCTCTCCCAGTGGCGCGACACCCTCCCTGGTGGGTGGCATCCAGTGTCTTATTAGAATGCTGCAGTAGCCGGGGCAGAGAGAGGCGGGAGGGTGAAGAGGTGCGTGGAGAGTGAGAGTGGTGAAGGAAGCAGGGAGATGTGTGCGAGGGTGAGAGAGTTGGTGTGGTTGATTGTCAACAGTCGTGCCACCCTTGACACTTGTGACACCCTTGACACTTGTGACACCCTTGACGCTTGTGACACCCTTGACGCTTTTGAAAATTCGTTTGTTGAGTTGAGGCATGCACTCATGGCATGCACTCATGGCATGCACTCATGGCATGCACTCATGGCATGCACTCATGGCATGCACTCATGGCATGCACTCATGGCATGCACTCATGGCATGCACTCATGGCATGCACTCATGGCATGCACTCATGGCATGCACTCATGGCATGCACTCATGGCATGCACTCATGGCATGCACTCATGGCATGCACTCATGGCATGCACTCATGGCATGCACTCATGGCATGCACTCATGGCATGCACTCATGGCATGCACTCATGGCATGCACTCATGGCATGCACTCATGGCATGCACTCATGGCATGCACTCATGGCATGCACTCATGGCATGCACTCATGGCATGCACTCATGGCATGCACTCATGGCATGCACTCATGGCATGCACTCATGGCATGCACTCATGGCATGCACTCATGGCATGCACTCATGGCATGCACTCATGGCATGCACTCATGGCATGCACTCATGGCATGCACTCATGGCATGCACTCATGGCATTCATTCATGGCATGCACTCATGGCATGCACTCATGGCATGCACTCATGGCATGCACTCATGGCATGCACTCATGGCATGCACTCATGGCATGCACTCATGGCATGCACTCATGGCATTCATTCATGGCATGCACTCATGGCATGCACTCATGGCATGCACTCATGGCATGCACTCATGGCATGCACTCATGGCATGCATTCATGGCATGCACTCATGGCATGCACTCATGGCATGCACTCATGGCATGCACTCATGGCATGCACTCATGGCATGCACTCATGGCATGCACTCATGGCATGCACTCATGGCATTCATTGGCATGCACTCATGGCATGCACTCATGGCATGCACTCATGGCATGCACTCATGGCATGCACTCATGGCATGCACTCATGGCATGCACTCATGGCATGCACTCATGGCATGCACTCATGGCATGCACTCATGGCATGCACTCATGGCATGCACTCATGGCATGCACTCATGGCATGCACTCATGGCATGCACTCATGGCATGCACTCATGGCATGCACTCATGGCATGCACTCATGGCATGCACTCATGGCATGCACTCATGGCATGCACTCATGGCATGCACTCATGGCATGCACTCATGGCATGCACTCATGGCATGCACTCATGGCATGCACTCATGGCATGCACTCATGGCATGCACTCATGGCATGCACTCATGGCATGCACTCATGGCATGCACTCATGGCATGCACTCATGGCATGCACTCATGGCATGCACTCATGGCATGCACTCATGGCATGCACTCATGGCATGCACTCATGGCATGCACTCATGGCATTCATGGCATGCACTCATGGCATTCATTCATGGCATGCACTCATGGCATGCACTCATGGCATGCACTCATGGCATGCACTCATGGCATGCACTCATGGCATGCACTCATGGCATGCACTCATGGCATGCACTCATGGCATGCACTCATGGCATGCACTCATGGCATGCACTCATGGCATGCACTCATGGCATGCACTCATGGCATGCACTCATGGCATGCACTCATGGCATGCACTCATGGCATGCACTCATGGCATGCACTCATGGCATGCACTCATGGCATGCACTCATGGCATGCACTCATGGCATTCATTCATGGCATTCATTCATGGCATGCACTCATGGCATGCACTCATGGCATGCACTCATGGCATGCACTCATGGCATGCACTCATGGCATGCACTCATGGCATGCACTCATGGCATGCATTCATGGCATTCATTCATGGCATGCACTCATGGCATGCACTCATGGCATGCACTCATGGCATGCACTCATGGCATGCACTCATGGCATGCACTCATGGCATGCACTCATGGCATGCACTCATGGCATGCACTCATGGCATGCACTCATGGCATGCACTCATGGCATGCACTCATGGCATGCACTCATGGCATGCACTCATGGCATGCACTCATGGCATGCACTCATGGCATGCACTCATGGCATGCACTCATGGCATGCACTCATGGCATGCACTCATGGCATGCACTCATGGCATGCACTCATGGCATGCACTCATGGCATGCACTCATGGCATGCACTCATGGCATGCACTCATGGCATGCACTCATGGCATGCACTCATGGCATGCACTCATGGCATGCACTCATGGCATTCATTCATGGCATTCATTCATGGCATGCACTCATGGCATGCACTCATGGCATGCACTCATGGCATGCACTCATGGCATTCATTCATGGCATGCACTCATGGCATGCACTCATGGCATGCACTCATGGCATGCACTCATGGCATGCACTCATGGCATGCACTCATGGCATGCACTCATGGCATGCACTCATGGCATGCACTCATGGCATGCACTCATGGCATGCACTCATGGCATGCACTCATGGCATGCACTCATGGCATGCACTCATGGCATGCACTCATGGCATTCATTCATGGCATGCACTCATGGCATGCACTCATGGCATTCATTCATGGCATGCACTCATGGCATGCACTCATGGCATTCATTCATGGCATGCACTCATGGCATGCACTCATGGCATTCACTTCATGGCATGCACTCATGGCATGCACTCATGGCATGCACTCATGGCATGCACTCATGGCATGCACTCATGGCATGCACTCATGGCATGCACTCATGGCATGCACTCATGGCATGCACTCATGGCATGCACTCATGGCATTCATTCATGGCATGCACTCATGGCATGCACTCATGGCATTCATTCATGGCATGCACTCATGGCATGCACTCATGGCATTCATTCATGGCATGCACTCATGGCATGCACTCATGGCATTCATTCATGGCATGCACTCATGGCATGCACTCATGGCATGCACTCATGGCATGCACTCATGGCATTCATTCATGGCATGCACTCATGGCATGCACTCATGGCATTCATTCATGGCATGCACTCATGGCATGCACTCATGGCATTCATTCATGGCATGCACTCATGACGTGCACTCATGGCATTCATTCATGGCATGCACTCATGGCATGCACTCATGGCATGCACTCATGGCATGCACTCATGGCATTCATTCATGGCATGCACTCATGGCATGCACTCATGGCATTCATTCATGGCATGCACTCATGGCATGCACTCATGGCATTCATTCATGGCATGCACTCATGGCATTCATTCATGGCATGCACTCATGGCATGTACTCATGGCATGCACTCATGGCATTCATTCATGGCATGCACTCATGACGTGCACTCATGGCATTCATTCATGGCATGCACTCATGACGTGCACTCATGGCATTCATTCATGGCATGCACTCATGACGTGCACTCATGGCATTCATTCATGGCATGCACTCATGACGTGCACTCATGGCATTCATTCATGGCATGCACTCATGACGTGCACTCATGGCATTCATTCATGGCATGCACTCATGACGTGCACTCATGGCATTCATTCATGGCATGCACTCATGACGTGCACTCATGGCATTCATTCATGGCATGCACTCATGACGTGCACTCATGGCATTCATTCATGGCATGCACTCATGGCATGCACTCATGGCATGCACTCATGGCATGCACTCATGGCATTCATTCATGGCATGCACTCATGGCATGCACTCATGGCATGCACTCATGGCATGCACTCATGGCATGCACTCATGGCATTCATTCATGGCATGCACTCATGGCATGCACTCATGGCATTCATTCATGGCATGCACTCATGGCATGCACTCATGGCATTCATTCATGGCATGCACTCATGGCATGCACTCATGGCATTCATTCATGGCATGCACTCATGGCATGCACTCATGGCATTCATTCATGGCATGCACTCATGGCATTCATTCATGGCATGCACTCATGGCATGCACTCATGGCATTCATTCATGGCATGCACTCATGGCATGCACTCATGGCATTCATTCATGGCATGCACTCATGGCATGCACTCATGGCATTCATTCATGGCATGCACTCATGACGTGCACTCATGGCATGCACTCATGGCATGCACTCATGGCATGCACTCATGGCATGCACTCATGGCATGCACTCATGGCATTCATTCATGGCATGCACTCATGGCATGCACTCATGGCATTCATTCATGGCATGCACTCATGGCATTCATTCATGGCATGCACTCATGGCATGCACTCATGGCATTCATTCATGGCATGCACTCATGGCATGCACTCATGGCATGCACTCATGGCATTCATTCATGGCATGCACTCATGACGTGCACTCATGGCATTCATTCATGGCATGCACTCATGACGTGCACTCATGGCATTCATTCATGGCATGCACTCATGACGTGCACTCATGGCATTCATTCATGGCATGCACTCATGACGTGCACTCATGGCATTCATTCATGGCATGCACTCATGACGTGCACTCATGGCATTCATTCATGGCATGCACTCATGACGTGCACTCATGGCATTCATTCATGGCATGCACTCATGACGTGCACTCATGGCATTCATTCATGGCATGCACTCATGACGTGCACTCATGGCATTCATTCATGGCATGCACACATGACGTGCACTCATGGCATTCATTCATGGCATGCACTCATGGCATGCACTCATGGCATGCACTCATGGCATGCACTCATGGCATTCATTCATGGCATGCACTCATGGCATGCACTCATGGCATTCATTCATGGCATGCACTCATGGCATGCACTCATGGCATGCACTCA